GAGGGTTTGTTTTATTGCCGGTGTAGCTTAAAGTAATACCCGAGGGTTTAGGGTTTAGGGTTTAGGGTTTAGGCCCTTCCTTCCTCCCAGCCTAGCTGGAGCGACGGCGGGTTCTGGGGCCCAGCAGCCACCGCATTATTATAAGTTAGGGTTTAGGGTTTAGGGTTTTATATTCTTCTATAAACCCTAGGTTTAAAACTGCGTTTCATCGTTTAGGGTTTAGGGTTTAGGGTTAGTAACCCTAAACCCTTTGTTAACAATAAATATAGAATTTATATTATATTATACTATATATAATATATTATATATTAACTATATTATATTTATAAATATATTTTTTTTATTTTGTTTATAAATATAATATATATAAACATATGTTCTTTAATATATGTGTTACACCTTAATAATAAATCTTATTAAACCCTAATAAACAAACCCTAACAGATCCTCCTAAACCCTAATAAACAAACCCTAACAAATAAACCCTAACAAGTCCATAACAACCCCTACTAAACCCTAAACCCTAAACCCTAATAAAAAACCCTAACCCTAGTAAACCCTAATAAACCCTGGTAAACCCTAATAAACCCTACTAAACCCTAATCAGTAAACCCTAATAGACACTAGTAAACCCTAATCAGCAAACCCTAATAAACCTACCCTACTAAACCCTAACCAGCAAACACTATTAAGCCCTCATCAGCAAACCCTAATAAACCCTCAAACCCTAATAAACCCTAATCAGAAAACCCTACTAAACCCTACTAAACCCTAATCAGCAAACCCTACTAAAACCCTAGGGTTGAAGTGTAAGGACGAATTTTTTAGATGACTCTAAACCAGCAAACAATATCCTCTCCAGATGCCCCTTCCCCTACTAAACCCTAAAAAATAGGGTTTAGGGTTTAGGGTTTAGGGTTTAGAGCAAACGCATAAGAAAGAAACTTCTTCGCATATTATATGCGGGGCGTCTGCAAGCAGCAACGCAGCCACTACCAGTCTGGTTGTTTCTCTTGCTGCTGCTGCTTTGAGAGGAGACAAACACAGGCTGTTGCTGCTGCAATTGCTGCTGCTGCTGCTGCTGGTTCAGAAGCAAGAGGAGCAGCAGTTGGTGCTGCTGCCCCCGCTGCCGCTCCCAGCTACAGCTACTGCTGCAGTTGCTGCTGCTACAGCAACTGCTACAATTGCTGCTACAACATCTGCTGCTGCAGTGCCTGCTACTGCCTTTGCTGGTGCATGTGCTGCAGCAGCATTTGGTGCTGCTGCTGCTGCTGATGCTGCAGCATGTGCTGCTGCAGCATGTGCTGCTGCAGCATGTGCTGCTACAGCATGTGCTGCTACAGCCATCATCATGTGCTGCTGCAGCATGTGCTGCTGCTGCTGCTGCTGCTGCTGCATTTATCCTTGTTTGCCTTGAGAAGCGTAGATAGTGCTGGGCTGGAGCATAAGCCTCTGAAGGATATTATTATTAGTTTGAGCTGGCTGAGGCGAAGCAGAGAAGTTGCTATATTTAGCCGGGGCCCTAACAACATAAGGCTGTGGTGCTGACTTCTTCTGCGGTGCATAGCGAGGTGCTGCAGCAACAGCAGCAAACTTCTGAGGAGGCGGAGCAGCAGCATATTTAGCTGGTGGAGGGGCTACATACTTCTGAGGTACAGGGGCACCTTTCTTTGAAGGCGGTGCAACAACATAAGGCCTAGCAGGTACTACATAAGGCATAGCATATTTATTTTTTTTATAGCCTTTGTTTTTATAGTATTTATTCTTCTTTCCTTTTGCCTTCTTGCATTTATATCCATGACATAGCTCTCTCTTTTCAGCACCTTCTTCACCTTCTTCTTCTGCTTCATATAGTTCTTCTTGCTCTTCATAAGCAGCAGCTTCTTCTAACTCTGCTTCTCCTGCAGCAGCAAGCCCTTCCATCTCTGGGTAATAGTATACACCGTTAGGACCCTCCTCCTCATGATATACATAATCAGCAGCAGGTGCTGCTGCTGCTTCGCTTGATACTGCAGCAAGAAACTCAGCAGGGGCCTCGCCCTCTGTTGCAGCAGAAGCTACACACAGGGCTACAGCCCAGCTGGCCCCAACAACGCTAGAGAGAACAGTCTTCATATTTAAAAAAAAACAAAGAAATTATATATATATATATATCGATATATATACAGCAATCAAACAATATAAGAAAGAAGTTTTATTATGAAAGCCACACACGAGAGCTAAATAGCTCTCTACAAACACCAATAGCAACAAAAACGAGCGAAACAAGAAGGGATTCAAGCAAGCCGCATCACGCTGCTAGCGATCTTGCTGCTGCTGCTGCTGCTGCTGCTGTTGCTGCTGCTGCTGCTGCTGCTGCACTCCTGCTATCTGAGCCTCGTCTTCTACGGTAAAATAGCCATCAAAACCTTCATAAACCCTTTTAAATACAATATATAATCTATATTTCTACTTTTAGGGTTTAGAGTTTAGGGTTTAGGGTTTAGGGTTTGTGCAGCACCTGCAAACCACCAGGCTATCGGCGGTGCCCATCGAGCCGGAGGCTGACCTTAGCAGATGTCTAGAGGTATTATTTTAAATATATATATATATATCGATATATATACAGCAATCAAACAATATAAGAAAGAAGTTTTATTATGAAAGCCACACACGAGAGCTAAATAGCTCTCTACAAACACCAATAGCAACAAAAACGAGCGAAACAAGAAGGGATTCAAGCAAGCCGCATCACGCTGCTAGCGATCTTGCTGCTGCTGCTGCTGCTGCTGCTGTTGCTGCTGCTGCTGCTGCTGCTGCACTCCTGCTATCTGAGCCTCGTCTTCTACGGTAAAATAGCCATCAAAACCTTCATAAACCCTTTTAAATACAATATATAATCTATATTTCTACTTTTAGGGTTTAGAGTTTAGGGTTTAGGGTTTAGGGTTTGTGCAGCACCTGCAAACCACCAGGCTATCGGCGGTGCCCATCGAGCCGGAGGCTGACCTTAGCAGATGTCTAGAGGTATTATTTTAAAGAAATATATTTGAAACTGTAAATTAAATTAAATATTTAATTATTTATTTAAATTCTACAGAAGAAATGCTGTAAAACAATAATAAATATAAGGGGTTTCCAGCAGTGTGCAGCAGCAGCAAAGGTCTCGTACAATCGATGAGCAGCTTGCTGCCTCGCAGTGTCTCTGCAGCTGGCAGCAGCAGCAGCAGCAGCTGTTTGTTTTTTTCTCAATATATCTGCATTTATATTTTTTCTGAAGCATTATCATCTTCTTTACAAGCTCTTTTATGCTTAAAAACCCTCTCTTAAGCGCCGCCACCGTTCTCCGTGCAAACCACAAACCCTAAACCCTAAACCCTAAACCCTAAACCCTAAACCATCAGCTCAGAGGCCAACAGACCGACGCAAATAAAAACCCCAAAATGGAGATTTGTTTGTACGATATAGAGATCCCTCTCTCAGAGGCAACAGAACAATTTTATTATGCATTTGCTGCTCCTGAGCTGCAGACAGACGATAATACATTTGCTTCTTCTCAGCAGGCCTACTCCAACAGCAGCAGCAGCAGCAGCAGCAGGAGCAGCAGGAGCAGCAGCATCAGCACACAAGCTTTTGGGGGACCCTTAAACGACACCGCGCTGCGTTTAGCTGCATGTATAGCAGCAGATGCCTCGGAGGAAGACGACGAAAGCGAAGAAGAAGAAGAGCAGCAAACACAAAACTTCAACAGCAGCAGCAACAGCAGCAGCAGCAGCAGCAGCAGCAGCTACGAGGAGTTTTCAGACAACTCCGGGATGCGCTATACAACCCCCACCCACATCGTAGAGTGCAGCAATTATCTCGTCGGACAATCGGGGGCAGGCACCTGCTGGAAGTGGCTGGGGATGGTCTCCAACAGAAACGATCCCAGAAGAGACGATCCCAACAGAAACGATCCCAGAAGAGACGATCCCACAAGAGAAGATCTTGAGAGAGACGATCCCGGAAGAGGCGACCTCAACGGACACGATCCCAGAAGAGACGATCCCAACAGAGACGATCCCGAGAGAGATGCCGCCAATAGAGACGATCAAGAAAGAAAGGAGACTGGAGGAGACGATCCCCAAGGAGACGATCCCAGGAAAGGCGATCCCAGAGACGATCCCGAGGGAGCTGATATTGAAAGAGTCGATCCCAATAGAGACGATCCCAAGGGGGGCGATCCCAGCAGAGACGATCCCAGGAGACACGATCCCGAGGGAGACGATCCCGAAGGAGACGATCCCGACACCTGGGAGTTTGTTGTATTTATGTTGATCCCCAAGGCCCCTCCTCCTGGATTCACGCTGAGAGAAGAAGAGAGACACATGCCTACGGTGGTCGTACACCTGAAGCAAGCTAATGATATGCAAGCAGCAAAAAGCAGCTTAAGGGCAGCACGAAAGCACCTCGAAAGACAACGCCAACTGCAGCAGCAGCAGCAACAGCAGCAGCAGCAACAGCAGCAGCAGATGCAGCACCGAGAACAGCGATACCTGACATACGAACAGCAGCAGCAGCAGCAAATGCAACAGCAGCAGCTACGCAGCCCGAGAGACACGAGATCGCCGCTGCTTGGGGCGCACCGCTTATCATCAGCAGAGGCAGCAGCAGCAGCAGCAGAAGCAGCAGAAGCAGAAGCAGCAGCAGCAGAGGCAGCAGAGGCAGCAGCAGCAGCAGCAGAAGCAGCAGAAGCAGAAGCAGCAGCAGCAGAGGCAGCAGCAGCAGATGCCATAGCAGCAGCAGAAGCAGCGGAAGCAGCAGCAGCTGCTGCAGAAGCGGTAACAGCAGCAGATGCAGCCGAAGCAGCAGCAGAAATTGCAGAAGCAGCACAAGCTGCACAAGCTGCAGAAGCAGCAGCAGCAGAAGCAGCACAAGCAGCAGCAGCTGCAGCAGCAGAAGCAGCACATGCAGCAGCAAAAGCTGCAGCAGAAGCAGCAGCAGCAGCACTAGACCTCTTAAACTAAGGACTGTCAATACTTTGTTTGCTGCTGTTTATTTTGCTTGTCTGCACTTAAACAAATGCAATTGTATGTACATATATAAATATAAAATTATATATTTATTTTTATTTAAATATATTTTACCCTCTGCACATATTTATTTATATTAATAATGTTTTATTGCAATGCTATGGAGAAGTGCTGTTATAACATTATTAAACCCACTTCGATTTATACATATAGTATATATATAGATATATATATATATATATATATCTATATAATATCTATATACATATATATCTATATACATA